CCTCCTCCTCCTCCTCCTCCCCCCGGGGGTGGCCTGGGTCGCCCCCCCCAGCATGAGCGCGGGGCCCGAGTGTGAACCCCCCGGGAAAAGGGCTCGCGTGGAGCCCGGCTTCTTCCCTTCCTCCGAGGCGGTGGTCGCGCAGCCTCCGCCGCCGCCTCCCCGCCGCCGGGAGGAAGGGCCCCCCGGACCCGGCGGCCTCTCAGCCACCGTGGGGAACAAAGGTGAGGAGCGCCCGCCCCCCCACCCCGCTCGGCTGAGGGAGACGGAAGGAGGGATGGGAGGCCACCAGGAGATCCCTGCCCACGCCGCCTGCGTCCCCGGCCCCTGCTCCTCTTGCTGCGGTCTCTCCCTGGTTCTGCCGGAGGCCCCACTGCGGAGAGGCCGGCCTGCCTGCCTGGGCTGCATCCTCTTCCCTGGGAGGAAGGCTTTGGGTCCAGCCTTCGGCCTCCTAAGCCCGGATCCCCCTGCAAGAGAGCGGGGCTGCGTTCAGCGGCAGGGGCGGCCGGGCCTCGACTTACCAGCCTTCTTTGAGTGGCCTTCGGGAGCCACGAGGACTCGGGGGTGTGTGTGTGGTGGAAGTGATTGAGGGCTGTTTTGTGGGGGGGACCGCTGCAGCAGCTTCCTTGGGAGGGGTGTTCACATTTATGACGGTCGCAGGGTCCTGGGCTCATGTGACCTTCTGGCCGGCAGGAAGGCCGCAAGTCGAGGCCCCGCTGCCGCTTGGTGGGAAGGGTGGCCCTCTGGTCAATGGCATGGCCGTATCTGGATAGCACAGCTTCGGTGCCGAAGGCTTCTGAGTCACTGTGTTCCCCACCCCACGGATGAGGCAGCCTTCCCAGTGCCAGTGAAGTATCAGAGCGGGCGCATTAATCCACAGAGGCCTGTTTTAAGACTGGCATGCCTCGGTCCAGCCTTTGCACTCCCAGTAAAACTGTATATTTCCTTCCAGTTTACAAGCAAAAGAGGATTACCTCTTGGATGGAGAACAGAGGAGCCAGAACTGTAGACTCTGAAAGGTAAAACAAAGCCATTTCATTTCTGCTGCAGCAGCAATGGCTCCTGCCAGGTGACTCCACCAGAATTGCTGCTGGTCCTCCAGAAGGTTAGCTTTTGCTACTAGAAGAGGACTTTTGGTGAAGCATACTGTCATTAACAAAGACGTCACCAAAAAGAAGGAAGCGGGTGTAAGCAGTGACACGCTGATAATCGCACACAGGGGGCCTGCGTCTCACGTAGAGGGCTTTGTAAAGGAAGGGTGTTTAATCACCCTTGCTTTGGCTGGATTGCTTGCTTTATCCTTGTCATTTTTTCCTTATGACTTAGGCATTGCAGTGTTTTGGACAGTTTTATGAAGAAGCACTATACCTTTTGCATGGCGTTTGTGTTGTGTCTTGCGGAGCTTTTCAACTTTTAGGAGCTGTCAGTAATCATATATTTTTTAAAAAAATGAAGAATCCTGTCCTTTGCTTTGCTCAGGAAATCAGAAGGAAGGAATACAGCTAATTCTTCAGCTCATGGGCCCAAAATTCCTTGGCCAACCAAGACAGCTGTCAAATGATTTTTGTCCCATTTTATGACCTTTCTTGCGACGGTGGTTAAGCAAATTACGCAGTTAAGCGTGTAACACAGTTGTTAAGTGAATCTGGCTTCTCCAATGACTTTGCTAATCTGAAGGTCACGAAATGTGATCCGGTGACAACACCACCATCACCAGTAGTTTCCCAAGGCACCTGGAGTTTAACCAGGAGACTCTGGGGTTGCTGCAGTGGTTGGAAGTGTGGCAAACGGTCGTGTCTCTCTTTTCAGTGTCGCTGCAACTTTGAACGGTCGGTAAACAAATCGCTGTAAGTCACGGGCTTCCTGTAATATAGCGAAGTATAGAAATACTTTAGAACAGGGGTATCAAACTCAAGGCCCGCGGGCCGGATCCAGCCTGCGAGGTGCTTGGATCTGCCCCGTGGGGCCACCACCCTGGAAACAGCGAAGGACCAGCCCCCGGTGCCTCTGCCGGCAGAAGCGGCTGTGTGCAGCCCTCCCGGGGCTCTGGTTTTGCTGTCAGAGGATTGCAGGAGGCCATCCCAGCCAGAAACAGAGCTGGTGAGCCCCTTTTTGCTGGCAGAACGCTCAGGCTACCCACCCCAGGTGCCCCTGACATACATCAATATCAAGGGGCCATGCCCACCCTGGCCACGCCCAAGGTCAGCACCCGAGGTCAAACAACCGTGATTCCCCCCCCCCCCCCAAACGGGAGTTTGACACCCCTGCTTTGGAAGGTCCTTCAACCTAATG